GTTGGTTTGTTATTTTAATGAGTGGTCTAATTCACGAGGATCTGCAGGGGCTGGACTGTCAAAGTAGATCTTCCTAGAGACACTGATAAGCAGTCTGTTAACCAGGCAGCTACTTGGGTCCCTCAACCCATGTCCAATGGTTCTGCTTGTGTTTCTGGAACCGTGCACTCCTGGAGGCCGGAGACCCTGGCCAACCTTAAAGGGAGTGCGGAATCTTCCAAACAGCCAAGTTGAGTTTTGTGCCTAATTAGGGATCTTCTTTAATTTGGACTCATCCCCTTGGTTGTGAAATTGGTACCCAGAGTGAGTAAGAAATACTACCTAGACATGCAGTGTTCTGTGGCCACACCTCCTTATTTCTAACCACATCCAGCAGCCAACTTCAATCTCAGTTCCCTGGACTCCACTTCCAGGTTTAGCCAAGGGAGGCAGAGTTAGCCAAGCACTTCCCTAGCCATTTTCTCTTGTAGTTGAAGCCAGAAGCCCGCCATTCTCCACACTGAGCCCCTCCCATAGTCCAAGCAAGACTCAGATCCCACACCTATGCTGGGGCCCACATGAGTTCACATGCACACGCAGGCCACAGAGGGCCAGGGGGAGATACTCCAGTAGCCACTCTTACACTAAGAAGGGGGTTCAAACCCAGGAAAACAAAAAAGCAAGCTGGGGGAAAAAGGAAAAAGAAAAAGAAAACTAAAAAATAGATATGATGGTTTTGCCCATATTGTAAGACAGGTTAGCCAAGACATACCTTTTGACTAGGACCTTGCAGCTGGTCGTTCTTGGGACTGTCAGTGAGGTGGGTGGCCTTCTCCATCGCCCCAGGGGCCTTGAGCAGTGTTGCTTTGGTTTATTTCAGGAAGTGCTATTGGAAACATAAAACAAAGCACCTGGCGGGCACTATAAAAAAAAAATTGAAGAAATACGGTAGCCTTGATCATCCAACGGGTATTGATATGTTTCTTAACAGGGGCAAGGGGAGGGGAAACACATGGTGGCGTCTCCTTCTGTCTTCCAGGAGCACGGCCTCGGCCTCGGTGGTGGAGTCACTGCTGAGCCCGTGACGTTCTGCTTATATTCCATCCCTGCATTTGGAAGTCGTTCTTTGCCCGGAGGAAAGTGAGGAAAAACCAGCAATAACAAAACAGCAGCTCTACTGACGGAGGAGGAGGAGCCCAGGAGGCGGCTGGTCAGGGCCCAGGTGTGGAGGGAGGCCAGGCATAGGCACCCCAACTTCTCTGGAACTACTGACATTTTCTCGCAAGCAGAGAGGAAGATGGAAAGGTCAGGGAGGAGAATGAGGGAGGGGTCTGCCGCCGGGAGCCGCAAACTCCATGGGGCACAGAAAGTGCCACCGTCTCCCATTGAGGAAATTCTCCCCGCAGTGGCTTGCCCCTAAACAGGATATTGCTTCGATTTCTTTGATTTCCCTTCTCTCTCCCTCTCTCAAAAAAAGTCTGATTCTAATAATAGCTAGAATATATAAATAATAATGTTTTAATGTTATTGGTTCTCTGTTTCCGAACCCAAAGTTCCTCTTCTCTTCCTTTTGCCAATAAATATGAAAATTGAGGACATCAACTCTGCTCCTGTCAAAAAGACCCCCTCCCCTCAGAAAAGAGACAATCCGCCTAACTTCCTATTTCTATAGAAAATAAATAGCGCATCACGATGCCATCTCTCAGAAGAACGCTCATTCTGCTCTTTTGTTTTGTTTCAGTAGTTTGTGCTTCTGTTGTACACACCCAAAACAGAGGGGTCGGGGGAGGGATGGAGGGACACATGGGAGGTGAGGGGGAAAAAAGCAAGGATAGAGGGAAAATCTAAAGTTGTCTTTCATTAAAAAAAAATATATATCAGAACCAGCACAATGACCAAAGTCAGAGGGGGATGGCTAATTGCCCAGAGAGTCTGTTCCGTGGGTTTAGCAACTGCCCTTTTTATCTGCTGTGGGCGAACCCCGGCCACTGCGGCGTCCTCGACAGGAGCGAGGCTCTTCCAAATCGTCCTCATCAAAGCCGTGGAAAGTTGACGTGTCACTTTCTGACGTGGAACCGAATAAGTCCTCCGTGGTACGTGCTGCGGCCGCTGCCTCCTTCTCCTTCCTGCCTTCTCCTCCCAAATGAGCTGACATGTATGATGAATATATCAGCACATGGGTTAAGCAACAGACAGCATTATTAATATTCTCATTACATTATTACAATGCTATTCTTAATAGCAAGATATTAAACCGTTTGCACACCAAAGGGATTAACCCGGTGCATCACCTGGTGACGGGGATTTGGGACAAAGCAAACATTTCCAGGGAAGAGGCTTCCCCGACTCCCCGAAAAGGCATCACCTCTACCATAGTACATATGTCCACAGCTTCCGACAGCAAAAGCTTCAATCATGATCTTTCTTCTGTTGTGCATACACACAGGCGCTTGCACGCTCACTCAACCCTGCCCCAGACAATAATTTTCCTTGGTGGTTTTTAAACCTGGTTGGGATTTCTTTGGTGTTTTCTGTTGGTGTTTCTTTGAACAATATTTGTCCTTCACTTTGACAGTCAGCTCTACAAAGGTATTACTGTCAGATAACCCATTCAAGGTGGTTAAGCCTCCATCCATTTCATTTTTATTTTTACCCGCTTCTAATCCCATTCTTTCAGAACCCTTTCAATTCTCCCCTTACACCATGTGGTTCATTTGCACTGAAAGCAAAAGGAAGTTGGAAAGTCTGATAAGTGGTAGGTGATAAAAGAGTTTATTTTCTTTAACTACCGGAGGAAATTTCTGTGATCTGCATCCACATACATGTGCATGCAAGTGTACCCCCCCCACACACACACACACATACACACTCTCCAGTCACCAACCATGCCCAGGTATTGGTTACTCCAGAAAGTTCAGTTGTCAAATCTCACTCAGGGCACTACGAAGGTGAGAAATAGGAGTAGAAAAGTCCTAATAAATCAGAGCATCCTGAAATCTGTAAAACTCAGGTTTAAACTTTTTCGCATTCTAAATGAGCCCCAAGACTGCTCTTGTATAAGTGAATGATACATCCCTCATGGTGCCAATTTCAGGACTCTCACTTCCTCCCAGGAAACAGCAGTGGTAGGGTAGATGGGAGGGGGAAGGAAGCTCTTTCAAGCTCCATACTCTTCTCTGGAAGGACCGTAGGGAGGCTCCAGAGAAGTATTCGCCCACCTGCCTTAACAAGCACATCTCATCTCATGGGCCAATGACACCTGTTTCTTCCCATGGTATCAACTATTTCAGGAACATCAGAGTCAGACCTTGACTAAATGATCCACCAAAACCAATCCTTGGCAAATGCAATGAGAATACCTAGGTTGGTAGAAAATGACTCCCTGAGCCACATAGCAGACAGAACCTTGGGGGGAAAGCTGAGAGAAGGTTGTGGAAAGAGGCTTTGCATAGAAAAAACTACTTCCCACTCCTGACATTCCATGGCTTGGATTCTAGCACCCTGTCTTTTGTAAGAAACGAAGGGGAGAAATTACAGCGGTTTGCAATGAGAATTCTGAAGCTGCCCCCTCTAACCCATCCAAACCTATAGCAGTCCATAACGTGTTGCTTAGAACATCACTCCAAGTGACCTTGCTTCTGGAAGTAGAGATTTCATCTGATTGCTTGCTTTTAAAAATCACCGCATTGAATTTCATCTTTTTTTTTAAGTAACTTAAAAAAACAGACTCTGCTATCACAAGAGCCCTGTCTTCTATGCTAGCATCCATAGAGCAAAAAATTCACTGTTAGGTACCATGTTTGGACAGTAAATGAATTGACAGAATTGCACAAATGGACCGCCCTATCAGGGTCCTTGAGAGTTACAGTTGAGGGTTGTGTGCAGCAGAAACCACAGTCCTTTTAAAATTACTGATTTGCTACTCAAGCCAGCCTTAAGCCCTAAACAGCCCTCCCATCAAAATATAAAAGGGTTAAAGCTAAGCTTTGCAGACAGAGCAAGGAAAGAGCTGAGTCAACCATGATGGGGTCATCTCAGTTCTTCTCTGGGGACTGGGAGTGAAAAAGACACTGGATAGAAAGGTAGAAAGGAAAAATGACTCCTCACTGCTGGAACCAAGCATCCAACCAAACTGTCTCACCTACTCATATCAGGGGCTGATGAGACTAAAACTGGGGTTGAAATTCCCTCCTCCCGGCCTTGCACTGTGGTCTAGTGATGACATAATACAATATGAAAAGTAGGTAGCACCAACCAACCATGGCCAGCTGAAAATAATGGTTTGGTCAGAACTAAAAAACAAAACAACCTCTTGAACATAACCTGAAGACCTGAATTCATTTTAAGCATGAAGGAACAAGACCAAAAGTCTCTTTCTGTTATTTTAGCCTTTGAACAGGTTAAAATATAAACATATACACCAAATCAACTACAGATTAGCCCTAGGAATGCCCGTCCTTTTGCCTCATTGACCTACCAGGGTATCTTCTGTTCTGTTTTAGAAAATGAGATGAGTGGCCAATGAGGTGGTGTTTATGCAGCTAGCCAGGAGCCCGGGAATCTCTGACTCCCACAATTCAAGATGTGGTTGCTTTCCCCATACTCATGTTTCCACACCACACTCTTTGGGTTTGCCCTAGGCACTTCCACAGAACAAACACATCTTTCTGTTACATGTGCATCGTCCACTACGAGAAAGCACGTTGCCTTCTTTCCAGGTTTTTCCACCCTACCTTGCTGTGGTCCATAAAAACATGCACAAAGAAATATGCACCTCATAGAAAGGCCAGACACAAATCCAAAACTTCTCTTTGCCCTTTCCCCTGGATCCTAGGGCATAACTTTTGGTTCTTGAGACCCAAAGAAGAAAAATACGGAATGAGCTGAAAACCCCTCTCCACTCGAAAGCATCGCCACCATCGCTTCCCTCTCCAGTCTCCACCACCAACAGGATGGAAGAGGAATGCAAGAGGAGCATTCCTGGTCTACGGGCACCCGGTGTGGGAAGGGGCCGCACTCACCAGAGCGTCCACAATCTGCACAGGACACCAGCTCTTCAGGCCGCCCGCTCTTCTTGTTCATGTTGGAGCCCCCCAAACAGAAGTCACAGTAGTTATTGGGAATGACTGTTCCATCCGGTCCTTTCTGGGCTGTGGGAACATTTAAAACATTCGATTTCAGGCTTATATGAGTTTCAACTGCCCCTTCTCCTCCTACAGTGTGGTAGAATCTGCTCCAGAAGGATTTATTATAACCAAGTTGGCAAATTGGGCTAGGCTTTCTTTTGGATCCTTTCTGGCTTAATGGTACTAATAATGTCTCGCAAGTCACCCAGAGATTAATTTTTAGAGTATTTCCCAGCTCTGTGTTGTTGTGGAAATCCCCCTGCTCCTCTGATTGCATCCTTAGATGATCAAACCATCCAGAAGGGGTACTGGTCAAGTGAACTACTCTCAGCCCTAAACAATCAGCCCTGTGGGCCCAGGCCCCAGGCATCAGATGGAAACCACACATTGTAGTGTGAGGAGAGGGAGAGGAAAGAGCCAGTGCCTGGACCGTGCCATTGGGAGGGGTGCTTTTGTTTAGGAGATATTCTTCCTGTCCCTGAAATGGAAAACAAAGAAGCGCTGATGGGTGGTCATTTCCAGGAAGAACACCAAAGATGCTCTTGGGGACTTGGACAAACATCCTGGTAGGGTATCAGTCTCCCTGAAGGGGAGTCTCATCTCCCTGAATTCCAGACCCATTGATCATGGAAAGTACCCAAGACCCCAAGTGCCTTAAAGTTTCTAGACCCAGGTTTCTAGGCACTTGGTTCAGCCACATGCTAGAGATGGATTAAATGGTGAGTTACTGAGCATGTCTTTAGCCTTAAGACCGTCACAAGAAACTGAACACACTAACTTCAAAACCCACTCCTGATGGAGGTCCTTAAACAAAGGCAAAGAGAAATCTTGGGACATGACCTTGAAAATAAAGCCTATGAGGAGAATAGCACCTGTCCTCAATCACCAGAATCATTCCATTTCCAGGGGCTGCTTGAGAAGCCTTGAACAGGTTATTTGCATGGAGAGAAATGCCTCCCTTTCTCTCTGTTTCTCCCTCCCTATTGTGGGCATTTCTTTGTCATATTCATACTCCCTGTTTGCAACTAAGAAGAAAAGTCTTTCTGTTTATGGGATCAGCCTTAATCATCTGAGTGTCTTCCTCCTCACCAGACCCAGTGTCTGCTGCTGCCTTTCATTATTCACTGGCTAACATTAATCAGGGTCCCATAGTGTACAAATCTGAAAAAGGAAGCAGAGATGTGAGCAGAAATACCATCCAGACAGTAAGTGATAAACGGATTCACCCACTTTAATGTGATTCCCTCTGGCCTCCACTTCCTCCATGCCTCTGCTTTGCCTCCAGGAATAGAAAACTTACCTGGGGAAGGCAGAAGACAAAAGCTAGAGGAATTTCATTATAGAGGGTTAATCCATTTATCAGTTGCTATTTGGATTGTTTAATTGGTTTCTAAGTCATTGATTTCCATCTTCAGGGAGGCAGACAATTCTCTGCAAGAAGTGTTAGCTGTTTGCGGGAGACAGAGGAGCTGGTCACATTCTGGGGTCTGTTGAGTGTGGGCTTTTCTTCATCAGTCCCTGGATCTCAAACACATCTGCATGGCATACAGAATGGTTTTGCGAATAATCTCCAAAAAGCAGTACATCCACAAAAATTTTACTCTGCCTCTAAAATTTTCATTGCACAAATCCAGAAGTACCAGAGTCCCTTTCTCCCTTCTCCCTCAATTGCCATCTTCGTCATTTTTAGAACTCTCCTAAGAAAATCCAAGCATCTCTATGAAGCAAATAAACTCAGGGTTTCCTCAACAAGAGATGGATGGAAAACTATCAAATGATGAACAGAAAGAAGAGATAGGGTATACTAAATTTAGGGGCTAAGGGTAAACCAAAGTTAAGTGTCATGATTGATATGAGCTAGATATAATATGTGGAGATGCCAGTCGTTACTTAGGTAGCTTCCTGCATGGAAGGCAATCCAAGAATCCCACATATATCATTCCATAAAAACTTACAGGGGTCCTAGTCTCCTCAGCTATCTCTCTCCTATACTCTTAGGGACTTCCTATAATTTTCAATTTCCTCCCCATTCACAAGATCTTTAAGCAACTAAAGAATCTGATTTTCTCCAACACACTGTATCCCTTGCAATGTATGAGGATGAGGAAGTAAAATATGGAGTATAAAAGCTTTCAGATTAACTCTTGATATGGTTTGGCTGTGTCCCCACCCAAATCTCATCTTGAATTGCAGCTCCCATAATCCCCACACGTTATAGGAGAGACCCAGTGGGATATAATTGAATCATGGGGCCAGGTTTTTCCCTAGCTGCTCTTGTGATAGTGAATAAGTCTCCTGAGATCTGATAGTTTTTAAAAGGGCAGTTCCCCTGCACACGCTTTCTTGCCTGCCACCATGTAAGACGTGCCTTTGCTCCTCCTCTGCCTTCTGCCATGATTGTGAGGCCTCCCCAGCCAGGTGGAACTGTAAGTCCATTGAACCTCTTTCTCTTTATAAATTACCCAATCTTGGGTGTTTCTTTCTAGCAGTATGAAAATGGTGGAACTGTGAGTCCACTAAACCTCTTTCTCTTTATAAATTACCCAATCTCGGGTGTTTCTTCCTAGCAGTATGAAAATGGACTAATACAATTCTACACAGCATTCACTACCAACAGACCATTGGTAGAACACCCTATTGAATCAGGAACTCTAATACTACAAGAAATAAAAAAATTCAGAAACGATCTAGTAGAGCTAAGCAGGCAGTGATGGAGGAATTGAGCCTTTGTAAAAAGACCAAAGGAAAAGAATGGAATTCATCTGAAGAAGGGAAGCTTCTGAGGAGATGGGAGTCAGAGCAGCATCCTGTTGGCCATACAGAGTTCCTGTCCAAGGGGTGAGGGAGGTTCTAAAATCCCATGTATAGGCCCTGGTGTGTGCAGGAGTGACATGCCAGGCCAGCTGGGGTGCAGAGGTACATTTTTAGTCTGGTAATGGACCAGTATATAAGGTGATCATGCACAGCTCTGTTTTATTTTCAGAGAAATCATTTTCACTTCAGTTTCTACTCTCTTCTTACAACAGTGAGCTCAAAGCATCTTCCATTGTGGTCAGATGGTGTGGAATGGACTAATTGCTTATGCACCTGATTTTCTTCTACTTTTTGGTACTTGAGATTAGTTTCAAAGCAAGCGTTCTCCCATGGAGCTCTCCCAAACTTCAGCTAAAACATATCGGTCATGCCCTAGGGAGGGCACTGTTGATATCACCATTATGACCCTTGTTTATACACATGTCTGTGTGCCTCCTCTCCCTGTTTTACACTGTCATCTCTCTATATTAAATAGATCTACTCCTTCAGGTTGGAGACCAGGTCTAACTCGTTGTTGGAACCCCTACAATCTGTAGGATGAGTGACTTAGAGAGGGATGGCAGGGATGTTAGTGGGTGGCACAGTGATGCCCTGGGACCACCGGATATCATTCACTGCCCCTGGTTTATTTCCCTGCCAGAGGAGACCTGGTCCCTGTGTGCATGAAATGGTCTGCCACCTGGTCTCATGGCCAGCTCCCAGAGTACACAGAAGTCGGTAGCCAATGGCCCTGCATCACTGGAAGAATAACACTGTACCCATCCTGTGGGAGGTGAGACATCATTCTGTGCCAAACACACAAGAACATAGAAGACAATGATTCATTGTCTCTTGAGAAGAGGATACCAGGTCATGCCTATCCACTCAGCCTCCCTTTTGTTCAACTGCATATTGAGAAAAAAAGGAAGCAGACATTTATCACACCACAAAACTGTGGCAAATCTTTTGCTGGATGCTTTATATATGTTATTTCATTGATTCTTGCAAAAACTTTGTGCAATAGGGATTTTTTTTGACAGACAGAGTAACTGAAATCCAAAGAGATTAAAGCACTGGCTCCAAGCCTCGGTTGGGCTCTTCAAAGGCAGGATTCACCCCCAGTTTGTCTGTGTCCCCAGAGATTGTGCCTCTAATCACACTTCTCTGCCTCCTGGGAAGTCCAGAGGTAACTATTTTCCAGCCATACCTTGCATATAAAATATTTCGTAAATCTCTTTAGAGTCAACCTGATTCACCCAATATGATATTTACGAAGCCCAAAGCGATAAAAATTATTGAGACTGGCCTGATAAAAGTGGAAATTCCCTTTGAACTTAAATTTAATGTCCCTACTACAGTAATCCATCCTGGGTGATCCTGTTTATTGTCATCTACTCTATGAAAACACTTCTCTGGAGAATTCCAGAGGCTCATGAAGGAATTTTTTTAAGTAAATCTCACATTATGGCTAGGTTGGCCTATGGCCTGACCCAGCCATGAGCAATTTCCTGGTACCGTATATGAGATCATTATAAAAAGGATTTTACTATAAATAGGAAGCTCGCCCAGACCTTGCAAGTGGGATTTAAATAGAGATTTTGTTTCTGCTTATGGGAAATTGAGTCCCGCTTTGCAGAATAAGATGACGGGCAGGGTAAAGACCTGAGTGGTATCTCTATGGCAGTGTCTGCGATGATGGATGTGGTTTTCTGTTGATTAATGTTCACGGACTGAGATCATATCAGAGATACAAGTAAGTTGCTGAGAAAATAAAGTGAGCCTTGAGAGTTTAGAAATCTACCTGAGGGAGATAACTCTAAAAAGCTCAAAGGAAAAAAAAATGGAAATCAGGAACAAAGTTCATGAAGAAAGTAGAAAAAAAAATAACAGAAGGCAGGGAAGAGCATTCAGATAAATCAAAGCAAGAAAAAGGAAAAGCAAAGCTTCACACAGTCCCACCACCACGCTCAGGGAAGGGAGAGCAGGCATTCTGGAAAGGTATTAGTGCACGCTACAGGATTTTTGAGTTAAATCAGGTTTTACGTCTATGGCAAACAAGGCCCCAGATCTTCCATAAAACTACCACCCAGGCAGCGCCGGCTCTCCCCCTCCCAGTCGGATCTCCGCTGTGATGTGCCTGCCACTCACAGAAAGAATGAGTGGCGGGGACAAACCGGCCATCGGTAACAGCCACTCGTCTGGGTTCTGCTGAGACCAGAGCTGCGTCCCAA